GACACTGTTGAACGCATATGTTCTTACACTCTTGGTAAGAGGAGATGGCCTGTATCGCTGAAGTCGAATCAGACAGTAAAACAGCCCTCCTGAACGAGCTCTGTATTAATGATAACTGTTGGAGAGTTATATGAATGGCTTTCGGTTCTCCATCAAAGTGAGTAAGCCCCTACAGGTATGTAGAAATTGAAAGGTTGCTAAAAACTCCAGCTCTAGCCCTCTGAATCCTATTGGTCAAAGAGCCATCCGTATATACATGTATCCATTCCACAGCCGGAAAACTTTGCTCAATTGTTTCCAAAACTATAGTTCTTATTTGCTCTAGACTTACTTTCCTTCTTATCTATTTTCATTTCCAGGTTCAACCGAAGATCAAGGAACCTATAATCCAAAGAATTGAGCAAAAACAGCAGTGCCAGTTTCAGTGTTCTTATATGAGTGTATTGTTAAAGGCGAGAGACACACTGCAGAAAGCCATTTTGTATCTTCAGATTTCGTTGTTTATTATAATCATAATTCCTGCGATAAGGGTTACTTGGTAGACGAATAAGTCTCTGGAAAAGGATGAAATCCAATGAAAGTCAATCCTTTTCCAATGGCTCCTATATTCTGCCGCGCAGTGCATTTAAATATTTTATCGTTCCTAAACTGTGCTGGCCGGTTCAGCTGTACCGGTTGCAATCGCTCTGTCTCTATTCCCAAGGAAATGGAGAAAAGGCGCCCTATTTCAAGAAAATGTTAAGTTGTTTGGTAAAATATACTTTATATTTATTTAACTAGAATGTTTAGTATACTCAATAAAGAACATGATGGTAAAAATACATGCCATGAAAATTTTACGCGGATTTTTTTCATTTTTATCCGTAGTCTAGCTATGATACCTGTCTTGTACTTGAAGTACTTGGCTGTAATCAATTATGCGCCAATTTTACCAAGTGCCAATAATTCCCATATTACGAGTTTTCGTGAAGAGAGTGACAAAGTTTATGCAGACAAGAACATTGAATAAAATCAAATTAGCTTTAAAAATCTCTCTTTGAGATCTTAACTTAAAAGAGTAATTGCAAGCTAATAATAGTTTACTTGACTGGGCACACTGACTGGAAGTAGGACCAAATTTAAATATCAAGGAATTCTCGATGCAATTTAATCTATAGGAGGAATCACAATTTTTCTAGCGAATAGTAACGCGTTTAAACTTTCAATTGCAGCTTACCATTTGGACAGCTAAATCTTCGACTCATGCGACTGTCAGGTTACCATTCGCCCACAGCCTAATTCACTTCAAGCGCGATTCGGTATTTTTCGTTCGCTCCGTCGGTCGCTCAGGCACACATTTACAGTCAGACTGAAACGCACTTGCACTATAAAAATCACATGAAACTTCTGGAAAGAACGAGTTCGGACTGAAGTAAGAAGTCATAGTAAAGATTCAAATTAAAATGAACTTACTAGTAAACAAAATAAAGTGCTACATAACCTACCACGAAACCATTACATCGTTAACATTTACTTCGCTACCCCAAAGCAGTCATATTGTCAGTGCTTTGTCATCGATGCATGAACTTTGAAAGTACAAAAATAAATTATTTTTGTTCCATCTTTTAATGTTTTATTTCTAACGTGATAACATGTACAGTTTTTCTTATCATATGAGAAAATATTGGCTTAGGTACTGAAAGAAGTTAAGCGATTTATCTTGCAGATAAAAAACTTATAATATCTCAGTACAGCGTACTAAAATGTGTATTGTTCATGACATTTAAATTTCTTTTCTAATTTATTTTATAGTGAGAAAAGTATTTGATACAGGAAATTATAATAAATGTAAATTGTCTATCTATGTTAATCTATAAAGACTCTGCACAGCATCGGGTATGATAATTAATATTTAGGGAAAGCAAAAAATCTACAAGGATTTACCTCTGTGCTTTATGCTGACCCCTCTGCTAATAAGTAATGGTTAATAAATTAAGAACGCTTAAAAATATTGCTCTACATTAATATTAAACATAAAATAAAACAGTTTAAAATTTTACCACAATATTCTTGACTTTATTTTGAATGTGCATTTAAAAGAAAAACAATTTGAGATTTCCCAGAATGAAGTTTAAAGCTTGGTCTTCGACTCGGACCTGAAGTAACTTCGTTTTGAGGCAGTACCTCCCTGTTTATATACCATATCTACTCCTGAACAAAAACGCTTAGATCATTGTTATTATATATACATATAGACATATAAATTAAAATATTACTTACCTGCTGAAATTAATCTTAAAGTGAAATTTTAATTAAGTAAAGAGAGAAGTATTTAGCAATCATATATGTAAATCTCTAAAATAAAATTTTAAAATCTTCTCTGGTCATTCTTAAGACATTTTTAATTTTTACACATTTTTAAAAATTTTTTAGTTTTTATTAAAGACTAGCTTCATGTAAAACTGAGATTTATTTTTCGAATAAATTGTGCACATATCACGGCAGGTTTCCCTACGATGCCTTTTTCAAAAAGTGCTTTTATTCAAAAAAAAAAAAAAATGTTCTGATCGATTTGAACACTCTTGTTTCGTTTCCGTCATATAATCCTTTCTTTTTTATCTGCACTTAAGCAGCACATTGTATTTACACTTTGATACTTATAATATCTCGGCCAATGATTCAGCAGATTAAGCGGATAAGATTTTTGTTCTGTATTTGTTCTTTCAGATGCAAAGTCTTTTTCCTGTATATGCTGAATGATGCAACAAAATGCGCGGATAAGCTTGAAATCATTTTCTTGTATATATTTGTCTGTGTCATGTAAATTAGATAGATTAATAGATATACATTTGTATAGATCAGGAATGGCCAAACCGTGTCACGCGTTTCACTCTGTGGCTCGGAAGAGTTTTTACAGTGGCACGCGAAGGCTTAGTGAAATAAAAGATTTGAAAAAACAACAAAAAAAAAAAAAAAAAAAAAAATCATAATAGCTTCTGTATCAGCTCCGTCGAAAGATACACCCATAAACACATTATAATAAGTATAATAATTTATTTCAACTGCAAGGATCCAAATTATATTGAATTTTAGAAATTTGTACTAACAAGAAATTTTCCAAATTTACACGTTTTGGCTGTCAGATATTGTTGTAGATGTTTGTGAACAAACGTCTTCTGTTATGAACATAATGAAATCAAAATATCGTTCAAGATTAACTGATATGCACCTAAAACAAGTAACTTTATTAGCATTTTCAAGAACTAAATCTAATATAGCTAACTTGTTAAAAAACAACATATTCAAAACTCACGTTAATTAAGTACTGCCTGTTTAATAGTTATTTATAATTAAATGTTTCAAATTATTCATTTTTAATTTATACATAATTTAACTGATTGAAACTTTACAAACGTTTATTAACAATAAAAAACCCAGTTTGCGCGTTTATTTTATTTGGAATATTATTTTTTAAATGTCGACTACTCAGACTTATATAAAATGTGATATTTGCTTAAAATCCCATAAGAAGCTTATAAATAACACTTTTTTTTCACCTTTTTGCATTTTTTAAAAGAAGTGTTGGAAAATTTTGAAGTAGCACTAATTACTTATTTTTTCAGATAATGCCACTCTTCCCAAAAACGTTGGCCACCCCTGGTCTAGATAAGTGAAATTACAACTAGTAAACTTGTAATTACTATGATTATTATTATAGCATACATAACAATTCGATCGTAATATTTTTTCATTTTGCGTTTGCGTGTAAAATCAGAAGTCCATTAACTGCGTGGCTGTATTGTAAGATATAAGAAAAAATAGAAAATTATCTTCAGATGATATTTGAAACATATAAATTAGTAACTGATCATAATTTAAATCACTAATAGAAACATAAGTCATACATACAAATTTTAAAAAAATCAATAAAAATCTGAAAGGGTTCAGATATTAACTATTGCCCTATTACGTCGAATTTCTGAAAAACTAATAAACAGGTTTTACTGAAATTTGGTATTAATATACAATTTACAAGAACGAAAGGGATTTAACATTCAAAAGCCATTTTATGTACGCAGAGTCTAATATGAGGTTTTGTTCCCTCTTCACAGCAGACCGGTCGAGCAGCATGATGGCATATTGAACAGGAAGCACTTGAGGTGTCTCTGTGGTAGTCGATTCCACTCCTGCAACAAGACAGTTAACTCCATGTTGGTTCTTGAAGCGGGATGGCGATATGAAATTGCCCTTCTAAGAGCAACCTAGACATACTGATTACGGTAAAGGTCAGGAGATCTGACTTGCCAATCCATGCGGCGAACATACTCACTTTGCAGGTAATCGTCACTAGCTGAGCCCTATGTGGACGAGCGTTGTCGTCCACTAATAGGGACCCAGAAGGAATGAAGCTCCTGAAAAGTCCAACATAGGGCTCTAAGATCTCTTTATGTTTCATAGCAGTCAGGCAGCCTTGGTCAAACATATACGAGAGTGTGGGGCCGTCCAACATAATGCCTGCGCAAACCATTACACATTCACCACCGTAACGATCCTTTTCCTGACAAAGGAAGGATGGTATCGTATTCCACGCTCTCTCCAGATACAATATGCAAAGAATCTGCCCAGGTTGAATCTCTATTCGTCTGAGAAAAGCACGGTTCTGCGCTGAAGTCCGATGTAAAGCGCATGTTGTTTGCGCCATGCTAAACAGGTTTTCTGGTGAGATGCAATGAGCGGGACACAAACAGCGGTTAATAAGGCATACAGCCCTAACGCATGAAGCCGTTGGACCACTGTAGACTGTGCAACTCGTTTTCCAATGGCAGCTTACTGCTCACCGGAGAGTTGTGACTCTGTAGCTACCATGTGCATTCTTAACAATTTTACTGTCATAATTAATCAGTGCAGGATCAGGTATGCGCTAACCAACAATGTTTTGTTCGCTTCTTATGCTTTGAATATTGCAATAAATTCTATTATTTCATTATACTCACAGCTCATTTTTTTTATCTTATTTTCAGAAGCCTTTGACTATCTAATGAAAGTGGACACAGTTTCTAAAGAAATTCATTCTCAGGTGCAAGCATCGAAAAAAAATCTGCGGGAGGTCCAAAATATATGCAAGGGATGGCGTAAGAGAAATCCTATACTATCGGAAAAGAAATTACCTTTAGATCTGATTGCTACTGAATCTGCTAAATCTGTGATTGCGGAAGCACTCCATGGTACTGTTAGAGAAGATGGGAAGAAGATTCATGAGTTGCTACAGGTTAGAATAGATTATCTTCTATTTATAAGCGGCAATAGTGTTTTCATTGAACTTTCATTGAGTGCTAAGTCTTTGTATGTGCGAAAAATAATACAAAGTAAGGCCAGAGGAACTTTTCAGATTCTTCGGTGCGGCGGTTATGTTAATACGAGTGAAAACCAGTTCAAGTAGTAAAGGTGTTTATGAAGAATTACGTGATTAGTCAACGTGATAACTCGAAACAGAATTTTTTATGTATGTTAGCAAATAATATAAAAAAGTGATGTAAGAGGTATTTTTTACTGCTATAGGCAATTTACATATACTAAGCTAAAAGAGGTAGGCGGTATGTGACAGCATCAAAAAGTGATTTTTGTTGATGCCAAATATTAAAAGAAAACACTTTAAGTTTGGGCAAGAATGGAAGAATTACCTTTGACAAAGTGATAAGGTTTTGCTTAATCATTATGATTTTGCCTCATCAAAATACATCCCATCAAAAGTTTGAATCCGCAAATACAACGGACTATTAAAAATGTGTTTTGAATGTGTTCTGACTTTTACAGTGAGCATCGCTCTAGAAAGAAAAGCATAGCTATTATGGGCCTCAACCAGCGCAGGATTTACGTTTAATCAACACAAGCCCACACTTTCTTAGGGGCCCTCAAAAAATTAAAATATAGTAGTATAACAGACTTACAAAGCACCCCATATCTCAAATAATTAGGGCCTTATAAAATCTATATCTGGCTCTGGCCTCAGCATAGTGTTATAGATTGTAAGATCTTGTTTTCTTGGCTATCATAAGAGGTAACTAGATCTACTTAAGTGCTGCACTTTGCGAATTCTCGAATAAACCTGAAGATGAACGCAATCAGGGAAAAGGTGTAAAAACTCTTTAATTTAATACAAAATGTTTAAAGTTGGAACGGATTTACGGGCTTACATAAAATACACCGAGCACCTGTGGTGAGAAAAGATAATGTGATACTAATAATGTTAAGGATACATGGAGTGGCTTTATATAATCCTAATCACAGAATCAGTTTATTCTCTGGATTCTACAAGCATAAAAAACGAATAATGTCAAGTACTCAAGATCACTGTAATTTATCTTCTTAGTATACTAGACTTTTAGCTAGCGAAAGCGTTAGTAAAGAAAATAACATGTTGAATAAATAAAAAAATTGCAAAATTTTTTTAAACATTTACTATAGCATTTACAAGCATTATAAATAACAACAAGAGAAGAAATATCACTTTGAGTACTCTATGCAAATATATATGTTAAAGATTAAGTAGTTTTATTTGCATAAGCCTGTGGCTGGATATAAAAGGTGTTACTGGAATTTATAGGTTGCTGATCTATGGAAGGTTTCTGATCTATGACGATGATTATAACATTAGCTGGCCATACTTTACTGGTAAAGGTATTTTAATGAAATTAAACGAAATGCAATTTCTGGTATCCTCGACCTTTACTGATGTGCGCGTGGAACAGATCTTCAGGAACTTAACTATTAAGTGCTTTAAACGAATTGAGAGACTAGGATTTAAACCAAGTAAAAGGTGATAATTTCACACGTAGAAGTTGTTGAAGACATTATGACGGTTGCTGACTTACAGCCAATGTTTCATCGTGCTAGTTTTAACAAGGCAAATGTAGTGTCTCAGCAGTACCACATCTTACATGGCACTGGATCAGACACAATAAGCAACAGACCAACAACAAAAAGTAAATTATTTTGCAAAAATACTTTTAGCCAAAACGGAAATAGTTATGTCTTAACTGTAAAACCTGTTTTTAAGCACTTCATTTACGCTCAGAAGAGATATACTTCGGATAAGAAAACCCACATGTTTTCTAGGAAACGCTTCTGTTTTCTCCTAAATTTTGCATGTAGTGTTAATTCACCTTTATTATTTGGAATTATCTAATTTGAGAACGTTATTGTTGTTCCGTGATGGCAGGAGATATCGTAATAAGTTGAACGTGTTTGCTTTGCATCAACTACACGCAAAAAATCATAGGAGAGCGGTTGTTTCATTTAAGATGATACACGTATTGAATGCTGCGACAGCGGTTTTGCCCACCCATTTCACTGAGAAGCGTATCATTAGCCATACATTTCCTGCTGCCTAGCCGCCTAATTTTACCAGATTGTAACTTCAGTGGGTTTTTAGGACCATTTGCTTATCATGGAAATTTAGCACATTTCACAGAATTCAACATCTGCCACATGCCCAAAGCATCAAAGAGGATCAGATGTAACCAGCTACAGAACACACTGGCCATTACCTAATGCAAATTTAAATGAAAGAATTTATGTAGCAGGCTCTTTAGATCGTTCCCTACCGACGACCTTTTATTATGAGAATCAAGCGTAATAGATCAAATCCACGTGCTTGTGCTTGGCTTCATTGATTGGGCTTTATTTTTGAATCACTCAAAGTGGTACTTCTTTCACTTGTTTCATTGGTAATGATTGTAACGCAATAACTAATTTATGTTTTTTTCCCGTTCGGTTTTCCTTATTTATAATAAGTTTCTTTCATGTGTTTTATCAGAAAACACCACTCACCAGGCTATATAACTGATAATACCTACAGAATACACTGAACAGCCATATATTCATGACAGTTTCTTGTTTTTTCTTGATACTTATTCAGTTCAGAAAGATGTTTTCACAAATTTATTAAATATGGGTTAAAATGATCGTAAACTTAATATTTTATGTGAATGTATAAAAGTATTATAAATGCAGAGCGATATTAGTTAATGGAGATACAGCATACTTTACATAAATACAAAGGGAAGTGCTGTATCAAGAATAAGTACCACACTAATCACATACTTTACAGCTTCATTAACTACTAACATTGCAAAGCCATTAGATATTTCGAAACAGGACACATGAGAAATGCGCATTCCTTTTTCCCCAATCTGAACTTCAGATCTTTCGACTGTTAGCCACAAGTGCTGTCCAGTTACACTACAAAGATACGCACAAGGAAGCAGAAAAGAAATCTTTCAATTTAAGGCTGAACTTTTGCATACCAATTTCTCTATAGCCATTTGGGAGTTGACTTTTGATTGTGTCAATAAAGCATCTGTTGAAAAAGGAAGAACTCAGAACTAACTCTTCCTATGCTATTTTATATATTAAATTTCCTCTTTTTAGATTTATATACTAGTTTTAGATGTTAACATAGTTTTGAGAAATAATAATATGAATTAAATATATTTTCTAGAATAACTTAATATATTTATTTTTTGCGGTTTTCCTTGCCCACCTAAAGTTTAAATCTTTATTAATATGAAATTGTACATTACTATCCTAATTTTTGAAATTTGAAAGAAAATATTTATTTAAGTTTATTTAATAGTTACACTGTAAAATGTTAAAAAGAGCGGATTCGTACTTACCAGCCTTTTTTAAAGACTGTCAATAGCTTTGCTCGATTTAAAGACAATCATCACTGAAATGCAATCGTTTTCGTAATGCCGAAGATTATTCAGAACATTACTTTGTATTTTATGTAAAATTATTATGCTTTATATAGACTTAACTACATTATAAGTAATGAAATTATTTAAGAAAAGCAAATTATGTGGCAAAATGAAAAACACTTTTTCTTAAATAAAATTATGCTTTTTAGTTACCTCTGTTTATCTCTGACTGGAGAACAATTATAAGGTATTTCTCACACTTCCCTAGCGTGCCTTCGTGGTGTTGTGGTCAGCACACTGAGCTGGTATTTCAGAGGTCCGTGGTTCGACTCCCGGCGCAGGCGGTTGCATATTTTTCATCTTTCCTGCTTCCAGTTAACCTAATGCCTCTACACAATTTTAAAATTTATTAAATAATTTATTTAAATTCAATAATGATTATGGTATTTTAATTTACATTTCTGAAAATTGTACGTTAATTCATTGTAATTTATGCATTATGATGTTTATATATTTGCAGGAAAACAAAAACATTTTTGGCACTGAGAATTTGAATCCAATCTGGTCGAGTTACGTAAACTTCATTGACGAGTTGGTAAAGGATGGAATCCTGACTTTAGTTGATAAAAACATGCAGTTTCTATTGCACTCGACATCCGCCTCTGGAAGAGTAGTTTTTATGATTCACATTCATTTAGATATGTCTCAGGACTTGATATTCAGGCCTTCTTTGGATGAGTCTAAAGAAGGATGTCTTCAAGAGTTAATAAATGGAATGATAGAAGGAATATTTGGAGTTGCTGCTCTTGTTCAAAGAATAGACAAAACCATCCCTCACGATAACTATCTGGTAAGTGTATTTCCTCTGTTCCATATATTTCCAATATACAAAATAAAACAGAATCTGTCTTCGAAGAATTTTCAATTGCTATATTTAATGCAGTAATTTTTAGTGAGAAGGGGAGACAAAATTCGAAAGTGATGAGGCTCATTTTGTAACAGTGAAAATATACGGAACTTTTGCGACTTGCAATGTACATTATCAATTTCAGATTTATCTGGAAAAAAAATCTAACAAAAACAAAATATTAATAAAATATCAAGTATATTTCTAAATAAACGTTATACTGATGTAATTTGAATCAACCGTACTTTTTAAACGAAGCAAATTCTAGAAAGCTATTGTTTGCCATTATTATTAGGTCAAAAGTGTTATATTCGATTACATATATTCGGTTATAATAATATTTAAGGGATAATGATCGGTTTCTATACTTTATTACATAACACATAGGTTTTTCATCACTAAATAGCCGATTTTTAAATTTAGGGTAAAAATTATTCTGCATCGAAAATGTTTCTTCCCACTGGCAGATAAGGAACAGAAATTACTGTGCACAATATTGTAATTTCGGGAAATGACTTTTTGTCGTATTTCAGAAATTTAACAAAACTGAGGTGTTTAGTTCAAGGTTCAACTTTCTTGTTTGAATTTTGGATTAGAACTACTTTGCAATATATATCGTTAAGCAAGTTATATGAAAATTATTTAGATAGAGAAATAATCTAGCATTTATTCGATTTGAGAAAGAACGTGATATTTGCGAAATTTCAAGAAATATTCTAAAATCGTAAAATAATCGCGGAAACTAGAGTTTAATTGAAATTATTACACTAGTTTATCGTGATTTTACATAGCGTGTACCACAGCAGTATATTAACTTTAAGATAGTGAAAACTCACTTTTACATATTCAAAAATTGCCAATCGTGCCAACTCCGTGCTTTGTTCCCTCACTGAGTACATTTATTGCAATAAAAGATATAAAGTGGGGAAGAAAAGGTAATTAGGGATGTAATAATGAAATAATTGGGGTTAATAGAAATATTTGGGTTAATAGAAATATTAACCCAAAGAAATTGCTACCGTTTAAAAATCATTAAATGCTTCTCGCAATTATCACTTTATATTGTGATACTAAGGTTCCACGGAGGAAAGTCTAGAAACGCATGGTGGTAATTAGTAGCACTGTACAGATATGAATATTTGCTGAAGAAAAATAGGAATAAAGGAGAATAAAAAGCAGTAACAGAAAATAAGAAATAGAAAACTCTTGATATGCCATAAATATTTTTTCTATAATATTGTTGCTTGTGTACGAGTTCGTAATAGATTTAATGCACACAGGTCCGATTATAGATTAATAAAATTTACTTCTATCAAAAGAAATATTTCAGAGCTCTGAAATTTTAAACAGAAATATTCGTACAAGTGTTCACAGTATGACACAGTACAATCCGTAGTTACACTTCAAAGTACTAAGAATAGTAAACAAAGAATGACAATGCTAAGAATGGTAAGAAGAACTAAGAATGGCAATGCAAAGCGTATCTAAAGAGAAAGCTAATCCGATCACATGGTTGAACTAACAACCTAACAACTCGCAGCAATAATAACAACAAGTAACTCACTAAGAACAGATGCTCTGCCTCCGGCCTTATATAGTTTTCAACCGGCTGCCGAGGTATTTCTAGTACTTTCTGCTACTAGAAATTACTGGAAAGCAATATGAGTATCGAACTGCAGCTAATATAGTGATCAATTACATTTATTCAGCTACAGTACCTATTACGGTGCTACAGGGACCAAACCAAAATGTCGCCCAATGGTCGCCAAGATTGGCGACTGTTGGTGATTTCTCGCCAAATTTGGCGACAAAATAAGTTGCCCTATATTCTTACTTTTCCGGCATAGCTTGTCTCTTTAAAATTTTTTGCTTATGTTACATTACAAAGAAGAATACAATTTCACATATAACTGCACTAAAATCATCTGTATATTACAAAATATTATCAACAAGAAGCCATTGAGTAATTTCTTCATAATAAGATACAATTTCATTAGGATTGCTTTTACTTCATTGACATCTTTGATTATATTTTAATTTCTTGACGTACAGTCAATTCAGCAAACTTTTTTTTACATAATTCAAATTATATCTGACAAAATTCGAGAAAAGCATAAATACTGAAAATTATATTCTGCATAATGAATTATTCCCGAAATAAAATAGAGAAATCGGGTACTGTTCTGTTATCGGAAGCGGATTCAGAAATGTATTCAGAAAATTGTATGAATGTATGCGCATTTGTATGCATATATGTGCATATATGTGTATATGTATATACACACACGTACATTCGTGCTTACATATAAACATGCATACAGGACCACATACATACATTTTCGGATCCGGTCCTGATAACAGAACATCAGTATCAGAAATCGTATCAGAACCCACAGTTTTCGTGTATATAATTCTATCCAGTTCCATAGAAAAACGACTAAAATAAATAAATATGCGTATTTGTGTCTGAAGAATAATAATAAGAAGAAAGTGGAGTTGAAAAAAAATTGAATATATTACATTTCTTGGGAATTTTTTCATATAGTTTTTTTTTTTGATAAGTGTACAAACAAAGGAAAAAAACTGTCAAAATTTCCCATACAATTTTAAATTTCAAATGAATGCTTCTGTTTTAGATAACTGATTTTCGGTTGAAGAAAAGAACTAATTTTATCAGTTAATCGAAAGATAGTCAAAACTGTAGTTAAACTTTCGTCTTTAAATGTGTCTAATTTAGAGTCCAAATAATAACAGTCAGTGACTACTAGATCGCAGTCAACAGGAAGGCATAGAATCCTTATTATAACATAGGCCATCCGATTGATATGAAAATCGTAATTGCGAAATATATCAAAGACATTGAGTTTAAGTTGAGAAAATATTTTCTTATATATGAAGAAGCACTGATAAATTCTGAAAGTTTGTATGATTTTTATATTTCAAATTAGCTGTTGTAATTTTTCCCCAGTTGAAAAGTTATTCTACTGATGTGATTACAGATTTTACACCTATTCTTTAATCCTGAAAACATGATACTTTAATTATAAAACAGCATTTCATTATATTATTTTATTTTTTCAGTCTGAAGTCACAAGTAGGGAAGATTATCAAAGCATGAGACAAGAGTTAAAGACCCGACTCGAAACTGCCATGAGAGATGCAGAAGAGTTGGCATTAGATTTTCAACCTTATTCATATTTGTGGAAAGAAGAACCTGACAGTATAATACGAAGTTTATCAACAGGACGCGAAGATTCCCTTAATATCATTCCTCAAATAATTGAACAGGTATAAAGAAATTTTAAGAATTTCATGATTGTTTTGTTATAATTGTAATAAGATGCCCGAAATGAAAGTGTTTATTAAAACTGTATTAGTCTTTTACTTAAATTTCTACAGTACCGAGCATTGTTACTCATAAGAGATCTGTAATATTGAAATATTTAAAAGAATTCTTTAAAACTTCGAAATAATGTTCTGTCTTTTTAATTTTAATACTAGTACAGAAGTCCGCGAAGCTAGGTTGAATTATGGTTCACTGGTGATCCGTGCTTTCGGTGTCACGCCTTTGCTCGTGTCGACATCTATGGGTCGAAATCATAGGCGTGGTGTGATAGACGTCGATGGCTTCGGGTACAAAACTCTACCACTAACACCTCTCTACTACCACTCAAAAGATCTCCAGTGTGTTAGATTCAAGAATTCCGATTCTTTCAAACTGGCGAGCACTGAGTGGCTGCTCGGACGCCGCATACCTTTCCTCAGTAGCTATATGCTAATGAGGAGGGACAACTTGTTGCCGTGATTTGAGCCCATAGCGTTGATGTAATTGATCGTTGCGACGATGGGCTGTTTAGCTTCGTTCATTGGGCGCTGCCAGCTGAGCCCGTTGAATATTTGTGAAATGAGACACCAAGGATTGCGCGAGTGACGTAGTTCGTCATTTTTTTCTCAGGTGCGCGGATGGAAGAGGTGCATGCTCCTGTCACGTCGAAGAGGTACCACTGTGGAAGTCCGAGAGCCGAGGTTGATTTTTAGCTCGCAGTTCTGCGACGCTTTAGGTGTTTAAGCTGAGTCTTTGCTCTTGGTGATATATATGGGTGGAAATAAGAAACGTGATGAGAGAGATATCGGGGGCTTCGGGTATGGAACTTGAGGCCGCGACATGGGAGACGAATCATCTACAGCTAAGGCAAAAGAGGTCCTATTCACTAACTTTAAGAGTTCGGACTCTTTCAAATTTTGCAAGCATTGATTAGCTCCGCGGCCTCATCATACCCTCCCCCAAAAACTATATGTAGTGTGACACAAAAAAAGGAGACTAAGTGTGTAGCTTGAAAACAGAGTGGAGTTGGTAACAACTGTTTAGGGGACGTCATGCCACACACCTCCTCTATCCATGCGGCGAGTATCGACTTAACCGACCACGCCAGTGGGGAGTACTGCCTTAATTAGTGAACACGTGCAACTGCATTGGCCAGGAAAAATTTCAATCCGAGGCTTATGGAGATGAAATCTCATGCACGTGTGTTTGAATGGCATAAGTGGTTTTCAGGGGGAAGGGACAGTGTGGAAGATGATGAACGTGCTGGGCGCCTCCTTGAGCGCCCAGCACATTCGTCCTGATTGAATGGGTTCCCAGTGGTCAGACTGTTAATCAACACTACTACATTGAAGTACTAAAATGACTTCCTGAAAAAAATTAGGAAAAAAGTGAGTGTCAAAATCCATCCCTCCACAGTGGTAGTTGTGGAGGGATGGATGACTGTTGCATGAGGACAATGCACCCGCTCACACGGCCTTATCTGTCAAGCAGTTTCTAACCAGCAAAAACATTACTGTGATAAAGCATCCTTTTTATTCACCTGACTTGGCTCCATGCGACTGTTTTTAATTTCCTAAAGTTAAATCTTACTTAAAGGGAACCCATTTTACCTCAGCTGAAGACGTTCAGGCAAAAACAGAGAATCTCCTGAAGGGCTTTTTAAAAACCTCTTTCAGAACTGTTACAAGACATGGCAGTAACGAAGCAGAAGTGTGTGAATGCTGGAGGTAAATACTTTGAAGGTGATAATGTCACGAACTGATTATGTAAGTGCAATGATTTATTGGACCAGTCTCGATTTTTTTTTTTTTTGTGTGTGTGTGTGTGTGTGTGTGTCTCACATCTTGCATGCTAATAAGAAGGGACGACCTGTCACGGAGTAAGAGGCATCATTGTGGAAGTCCGGGGGTCGAAAGCAAAGGGTAATTTATTGCTCGCTTTTGTACGACGCTTTCGGTGACATTTTAAGCTGAGGCTTTTCTTCTGGCTACATGTGCGTGTCGAAATCGGAAGCATGGTGCTAGAAAACTCGGTGGATTTGGATTTGAAACCTGAGGCCGCATCATTCCGACTCTTTCAAATTTTGTGAACGTTGATTGGCTCCGCGGACGCCGCACTAGAAAAATTCTAAAAAATAAAACATTATTTTGTCATAAAACTCTTGACTTAAGTTATTCTTGTGTGATGTATTTCAAAATAAAGAAAATTATATCATCTAATAATTTAACAATGACTTTATTCTGCAGAACGAATGCTAGTGCGGAACGAATGGGTTAGGCACTCAGTCGAAGATTTTCCTGGGAATAATTAAGTGAAATTATAAATGCTAATAGATTTAAATCTTAATTAAGTTCAAAACTGATTGATTTTACTTGCTGAATGAAACCGGTTTTGTCTTTGCTTAGCTATCTCTTGGTCTTAAGATACTTACTTAATGAGTGCAAAAACATACCAAATTATAATTTTACAATAAATAAATAAATAAATAAATAATACTAAAACATAATAGAGAAATTATTATATCTATCTATTATTATATTAAGTTTAATTAAATTAATAAATAGTAAATTTTTGCCTTTACTAGTATTTTGCTTAAATTTCAGATTCGCAACTGTGTTACACTTGACACCCAAATAACGGAGTGCATCCGTCCATTTCGTTTGGTAAAAGGATGGCTTCGAGTTGACCAAAGTAATTTTAAAAAGCTTCTTTTGTCATTCATAAGCGAATGGAAATGTCGGTTCCAACAACTAGTTTTGGAAGGCGTCTGCCGCTATCTCCAGGATTTGGATACTTTCTGTTCGGAGACAGAGGCGGAACTGAACGAATCAATGACATCATCACCCTCCACTGAGAACATGGATTCGTCATCTTTATTGAAAGTCATCACTCTAATTCAAGCTGTTCAAGATAGGAGAACAACTACAGATGAGATGTTCGGTCCTCTGGGGTCGGCAGTTCGTTTCCTCAGGACCGAATGCAACCAAGAAGTAGACGAAGTCGTGGATGAACTTTTACAGGTTGTAAATATTTTGAGCTAGCTTTGCATTAAACGAATTCTGTCCTTGATGTATTCTTTCGCTATATAAAATATTGCAGGGTATAGTCATGTCGCGTGGCTGTTGTAAACTGTGAGCACATATCCTCTTTATGAAATTAATAAACGTAATTATTAAACTCTTTACTTAAATAATATGGAAAATGACGAATTAAGAAAATTTGATTGAGAATCAATAATTAGGACATAGGAAGCAAACGGCAGTATTTCAGAAATAGGCGTAAGTTTTTACTAAATAAAAGGAGGACAGGGTAGGAACAAATATCAACAACTATCCAGCAGAAGGTTCACATTACGCATGATTGATCTTACTACTGAGCAATCTTACTATCGCAATAGAAAGGTATTTATCCCTTTTTATTGTGTCCCTTCGTGGTGTCAATGAAAACACTTCCGGCTTTCTGTCGAAACACCTAGAGTTCAAATCCCGGAGAAGACATGCCACCTTTTTCTATTTTCTGTTTCGAAAAACAATTGACTATAAAATGAACAACGAAAACCAGTAGTCACACAGAATCATTTTCTATTAAAAGAAAGGTGTAATTACCCCATATTTCTGAGCGCAGCGTGTTCTTATTTTAGAATTTCAAAGTGGAGATCAATATGATACCCATAATGGCACACAGTTATCGCAAACAAGACCAAACATGTTTCAAATAATGTCGATAGTGAACTCTTAACAGGTAAATTCATCTGGACAAATTAAGTCTTGTTTACTTCTGCATCTTTGTGATTACGGCTTCGCTGCAAATAAAATCAAACTGTAACTCCTTTATATACAACTGAAGTTCAGTTGGCCATTGAAAATTATGTTCTAGTCTGGTTCTGGAACACTTTGCTGTGACACAGATTAGAATCATTGCTTAACATTGTAAAGACATTACGGCTGTTTTGGAGCAGGAAATACGAAATATCAATGGTGCTCTCACTGGGATTCGAACTCCGGAACTTCCGGTTGCTAGCTAAGCGTATTTTCAATTATCTCATGAAGGCACACTGTAAGGTAGAAGAAACGTTCTTGCAACATCATGCAAACGATGAATAATGATCATTACAGAATACCATTTCCATTATTATTTGTAATACGATCCATTATTGTATGCAATATTATTTGTAGTACGATGCATTATTGTATGCAATATTATTTGTAATACGATCCATTACTACTATATGCAGTATTATTTGCAATAATCCGAAACACAAAATCTTTTTTGCAACAAGATAAAGCACCCTTCTATCTGGCTCATAAAAGTAGGACACGAAAATGAGCTCACTGCATTGTCTTGATCTTAAGCGATACACTTAACTATATTCGATATACCTAATATGACATTTAACTGCAGCTAATTGTAATTTTTGACACGCGTGAGAAATATGTGTGGTGTAGTGTTAATGCTTCAACGGTGTGATGTTGAACTCCAATGAAAACGCTAATGACGGAACATCACATGAAAATTTTATTGAACGCCCCCCCAAAAAAATGGCTACATACAATACAGAAGAGAAAAACCTAAATCTTTTTCCTTAAAATCAAATTCTATACATTTTACGTGCGAGAGCAATTCGTGGCTCTCGAGCTTGCGTTTTTAACATTGCCAACGATTTAATTATTTTAATAAAGACTATATTAACAACTATTGAAAACGTATTTGTAAGTTAAAAAATAATAATTTTCAGTTTATGCTCACGAGACATCCTTGTCCAAATAAATCTTCAGTCTCTTCTTCTTTTATGTGACCTTATCACAACTCCTTCTTTCATCAAGAAATTTTTCTTGACTATGGAAGGAAAAATTCTAAATACAATTCACTGCTTTCAAAACACAAGTGGTATCCATTTAAGTGATAATAGAGAAGCCAGTTACATTACCCTGCACTTATTTCTAGATAACATAAGCGCATAAATACAACAAAAATAATTTAAACTACTCCTAATGTCTGCCTTATACAAAGCATATTCCTCAAATTTTACTCAATGCTAATACTTAAGATAAAACATTTAATTCTAACAATTTTTTTGAAAATGAAACACACAATGCAAACAATTTTGAATCTACACAAATATAATCAAACACATAATGCAAACAATTTTGAATCTACACAAAAATAATTCCTAAACTCTACAAAAATCATTTTCACCCATTTTCATTACTTTTTACCTTACTTTGTATCCACTAGTGATATTCAGTCACTAGACTAGGGCACGACTCAAGCCATTTGCATTACCGTGTAATTTGCCTGGCCTATGAACAATTTCAAAGTTGTACTGTTGGAGACACAATGCCCAGCGAGTCAAACGAGAATTTGATCCCATCATTTTGTTTAAAAAAGTCAACGGATTATGATCCGTCTGGATCTTGAATTATTGTCCGTCTAAGTAATGACTTAGTTTCTTCAGTCCATAAATAATGGCTGCTAGTTCTCTTTCAATGGTGCTATAATTTCGCTCCGCTTTAGTAAACTTTTTGCTAAGATACAGTATAGGGTGTTCCTCCCCATCCTGAATTTGAGACACCACTATACCCGCACCATATAAGCTGGCATCTGTCTGCACAATAAATTCTTTAGAATAATCTGGTGCAAATAAAAGCGGACTTTTCACTAGTTTGGTCTTCAGTTTATTGAAGGCCTCGTCGCACTCTTTTGTCCAAATAACTTTTTCTTTTTTGTTTTTTTTTTCCCCTTCAAAGCGTCTGTCAAAGGTGCCGCAATACGGGCGTAGTCTTTTATGTACCTTGCATAGTAGCCCACAGTACCAAGGTAGCTACGTATCTGTGTTTTAGTAGTGGGGATCGGAAAATCTCTGATTGCTTGAATCTTGGCCTCACTAGGCGACCTTTTCCCAGACCCTACTTCATGACCCAGAAATTTCACATGGTCTTGTGCGAATTTGCATTTCGAGGGCTTAACAGTCAATTTAGCCTCCTAAAGGCGATCTAAAACCACATCCAAATCCTTCATATGCCTGTCTCAAGTCGGCGAAAAGACTGCGATGTCGTCAATATACGGTAGAACAAAATTGTCCAGCCCTCCTAAAACTTGAGCGATCAATTTACAAAAATAGAAAGGCGCATTTAAAAGCCCAAACATCATTTTCTTCGGGATGAAAGATCTAAAAGGCGTCACAAATGCGGCATACCTCCGTGCACGCTCTGTGAGTGGTATCTGGAAGTATCCTTTGGTTAGATCCATGATTGTGAAAAATGGAGCTGCGCTGACTTTTTCTACCCTTCTTCAATATTGGGAAGAGGGAAAAATTCGGTCATAGGTTTTGAATTTAATTTTCTGTAGTCTATACAAGGACGAGGATCTTTACCTGGGACCTCTACTAAGGTCATAGGCGAAGCATAATCAGATTGCCCGACTTCTATAACTCCTAACTCAAGCAACCGCCTAATTTCCTCTTTTAGGATGTCGGTTTGTCTCGCCGACATTCGATAAGGCCTGACTCTAACCGGAGTCTCATCCAACAATTTAATATCCATTTCGACCAAAAACGTACAGCCGGGGTCCGACGAAAACACCGCTCCATACTTCCTTATAACTTCTTGGAATTTTCCTATTTCCTCTGCCGAAGCTCTTTCTTCTAGCTTACTATCTCCAACTATTTTACAAAAATCTACCTGAGTTGGATCAGCCAAGGGATAAGGAATTTCCACTTCTCCCTCAATATCTTCCATGACCTCCTCCATCACAAGATTCACAAACTCGGGGCGCTGATAATAAGGTTTCATCAAATTTACGTGATAAATGGTGTCACTGCTACGCTTACCCGGACTCTCTACCGTATAATTGGTTTCGGAAATCACACTAGTTACTTTACCTGGCCCTATCCAGTTCACAGCCATTTTGTGTGGTTTAGACATAGCTAAAATAAGCACGAGATCTCCAACCTTAAACCTTCTCGTAACAGCGTTGCGATTATACCAGAGTTTCCTTTTACTCTGGCACTCTTTCCTCTCTACAGCCAGCTTAATAGACAGATTAAAGACTACTTCTTTAATCTGTCTATTAAGTCTAGAACATACTCGACCACAGTGGGGTCTGAACTTTCTTCCTCTAGCCAGTTTTCATACACAATCGTTTGAGGTATTCTCAAATTTTTCCATGTACTAACTCGCAGGGACTAAAACCTGTACTCTCATGGCTAACAGTTCTGAGGGCGAACAAAGCACATGACAAACATTCTTCCCAGTCCTTCCCGCTTTCCAAGTACAAAGCCTTCAATACCCTTTTCAAGGTGTAATGCAACCTTTCAACAGAATTGCTTTGAGGGTGATACACAGAAGAATGATACACCTTAATTCCGAACTTACTAAAAAACTCAGATGTAAGTTCACTGGTAAACGATCTACCCAAATCACACTGAATTTCCTTAGGGTAACCTGATCTAGAAAAGATTTGTATCAAGGCTTGAATCACACATTTAGAGTTTAAATTCTGTACAGGAAGGGCATCTGGATATTTGGAAGCAACACAAATAGTAATTAAGTATTTATTTTCACGCGAAATAGGGATCAGAGGTCCTACTGCATCAATATTTAATCTGCTAAACAATTCTGATATAACAGGCACAATCTACATAGCGGCTTTCTTTTTATCCTTATTGTGACCTACAGGCTGACAAATATCGCACGTCCTCACAAATTCTTCAATTTCCTGGTTACAGTTTGGCCAGAAATATTGTGTCAAAACTCTATCCTTGGTTTTTGTTACCCCTAAATGACCAGAGATTTCTTCGTGGCATAACTTCAAGATCCCTTTCCTAAAAACGAGAGGCACACACAGCTGACGCTTATCTTCCCCTTTTTTAGAACCTGCCATTCTGAATAGTCTTTCCTTGACTATTACAAACTCTTTCTCATTTTCACTTTCCCCTTTCTTCCACAGGGTCGCTAAACTAGCGCATGTTTTTTGTGCTTCCAAGAATTCTGCTGACCAAACCTCCGCAAGGATAGATTCT